TATAATGTTCATTAGTAAGTTTATGTTTTTGATATATTACCAGTTAAGATTCTAACAAATAGTTTCAAAAATTTTTATACATAAGCATTAATTCATTCTACAAGCAAAATAAAAATTCGAAAATAAAATTTGAAAACCTATTATAAGAGTAAATGGTTATTAATTTGAATAAATATGTATATAGTTTATGCAGTTTCTTAAAAACTTCATTATGCGCCGTGATATTTCAAAAACGACTAAAAAATAAAGTACTTAAGAATTATAAGGTCCTTATAAGGAATGTGGACTTCTTTTTTATGATATTAAGTGTATATGTAATTTAAACAATATTATATTTCGCCGGTGCCACGTTTCCCGCACTTTTATTGATTTTTTTGGACATGCAACTAAATCAGCTGATCTTCTCTTTAACCTAAGAGGCGTTACATGTAAAAAAAATAAAGGCGCGTGCGACTGTGCATCAGCCATTTAAATTTAAACCGTTAATTTTTTCCACTCCAGTTGCAATGAACTGCGTTGGGAGTTAGGAGGTGCTCCTCTTCAAGCGATATTTCACAGAAAAAAATAAGGTATGTGCACTGTGAACTCTGTTAGCTGTTTTCCTAATTTACGAATTATTACACCTCAAATTTTTAAACCAGATAAACGCCAGCCTACAGGATTTATTTATTACCAGTTTTAGTAAAAATTAGGAATAGATACACAATTATGGTTGTAGTAGGTTAAACACTTTTATGGCAATTCTTTTAGGTCTCTAAAAATAAAACGAAGAGAGCTTTCTGACGTCATTCGTGAGCTTTTATGTTTACATAGATTCTATTCATGGTTTTAAGCACGTTTTTAAATCAAACGCATATAAACTACTTTACCTTAAACTTAAAACTTTGTTATTAATTTTTCCCTCCAGTTTGCAAATGAATTTACTTCACTTAAAATGATCCTACCACATATCTTTTATTAATGATAATAAAAACTATTATCTACGTCACAAAATGCAACAGATTAATTATAATTAATTTTTAAAATAAAAATGCCATTCATTAGTAAACCTAAACAACTGCTATAGAAAAAAAAATATTTAAAAAAAAAATGCACACAACGCGGAAGTAGAAAACAATTTATAGTTAACACTCTGTACAAGTAGACTGTCGCATTTATTTAAAAAATATAAAGGCGTTGGTTGTATTTACTATGTTAAAAAATCATGAGACTTTGAAATAGACAATAAAGCAATATTTTTGTCTCCTGGCAAGGTTACATTACGTAAATTTCAATCAGGAGATCTGTAACTATCATGGTATATAGATTACATACGCGAAAAGATTAATTCAGTTTACTTAAAACGTCAAGAGCTTTTTGTATATGTACTTATGTAGACAGTAAAAATAATTTCATAATCCCTTATCAGTTGAATAAAACTTTTATTACCTTATAATGTGATCAACGATATCATAAATGAAGTGGTTATCTGTAAGATAATCTGATTAAGTGTAAAGGTTCATCTCGTTTGGGCTAATTTTTGAACTATAAAAAAATAAGATATTGTTAAATTATAATTATTGACCTATGAATATGTTTCTTTTATTGACTTCTAATAGAATTAATAAGCTGTGATTGCATATTTAATATTCAAGGATAACAACATGCGAAAAAATGTAGCATATGAAATTATAAAAAAAAAAATGTAGTAGATCGGTGTTACCTATGCATTTAATTACAAACACGATTTATATTTTGTCTAGTGCTAAACGCTCTTATATGTACATACAGTGTAACATTTTCAGAGTACATATATTTTTTATATCACAGTTTTTTTTTAGAATTTCTATATGCATTGCATCAAGAATTTGGATTTGAACCAATAAGTATTTTTGAGTCTGTGTAATATATATTTTGTGAAACTGAGGCTGGCATCGTTGGTGTCGAAACGCATCTTAGTTTTTTTAAACTTTTTTATATATGTTGTAAAATTTTGGTCTTCAGTTTTTTATTCATTTAAGTTTAATTTGTTTCATTATTTATTTTTAATTTCGGTTTTCATTCGGGGGAGGAACGTTATCGATTATGTAACGTAATCAAGTAATAATATTTTGCATTGAGGTCTTTTTCTTGCTATCTACATATGTAACTACTTCGCTTTTAAATTGTTATTAAGGCAATTGTGCAATTGATACAAATTATTATCTTCATCTTTTTAACGATAAAGTGTACGATTTCACATTTATTTTTAAATCTATAGTTATTCGGTTAATAAACTTCGTAATATTAACCGGTTCTATACATATACAGGGGGTCGATAAATTTTAAAAGAAAAACCGCTTTCGTCTACTGTTCAGATGGAATTACTTTATAAAAAATTACATAATATTATTTTAAACTAGTTGAGTAGTAAAACGATTAATTACAACTTCTTTCTTTTGGAAAAAACGGTCAGGTTTAAATATATGTATAGTTTGTTGCATATACACGTGTGTAACTGTTAACACAGGTGAACAGTTGGTTGCATACCACCGAAAAAGGGCCAACCGCTTAGATTTGCAAATGCTTAGGTATACTTAAATATTTTACTATATATATCAATAGTTAAGACCTGTTTTCTATGCGGTCCTTCTGCAAGACGTTCAAATTAGAATTGTGACTATCTATTCGTTTCGTATTTTGAAATTTAATCAGCTAGGTACGTAACTACTTGTACATGTTTGATACCTGGCTATTAGAAACGACACTAGGTATCTATATATATTATTTAATTGACCAGAAAGACCCTCGGCTAGTTTCCCGAGTCCAAGGTTTTCATGTATCTGTCCGAGAATGCTACATAACATTGCAGTCTCCTGGCTGGTACTTATAAAGTAAAACACTTTAATACAGTCGCATCGCAAGTACATAACACATCAAATACTATTTACATTATTGTTCGGTAGTATTAATACAACTTTCAAGATATGATAGCGGTATCTAAAGATCAGTAAAATTGTTACACGTATTGATGGTATAACATTTTTGGATTTGTGTCAGTTGTAAACAGTGATAGTTACGGGTTATTAGTGTGTTTTTTCAGTGAAGAATCTAGTAGGCGTCGATTTCAATTTTCTTCTTTTTTTTTATTTAATGATCCCTTAGCAACAATTAACAAGGTGCGTAAACAAGTTTTGTTTTTTATTAGTTATATCTTTTTTTAATTCAGTAGCAAATAAATCTGGAATATCTTGATATGTTTTTGTATTGTTTCAGTGCCTAGTTATGAAGTTAAAAAACTTTCCAAAATTCAGTACATTATTTATTGTTATTACAAGTTGTTCACTGATAATTTATTATCTGAGCGTAAAAATTAAGTACCTGAACAATTTTTACATGCAGTATTTTCATTTTTAAAGTAATAAAATTGTTTTGTGACGTAAAACACATACAATAAAGGAGGTACTAGAGTATTTACGAGATATTACTACGTTGCTTTAAAAATAAGTGACGTTTTTGAATGAAGATGAAGATAATATAGGATTAAAAAAGCTTAAAGTGTAAGCAATTTAAAGGCGAAATGATTACCTTGTTGCAATTCAAGGAATATTAGATAAAACGTGGAATTTGGGGTAATATTTTTAATCAATCAAATTACGTAATGAATCAGGGACGAAAATGCGTTGCTATGTTTCATATTAATTTCAGAGGAAAAACGATTGGTCTAGAATGTAGGTAATATACAAGTAAGGCAAAATGTTCACTGATCATTAAAATAACACTCAAAATCTTTTGAACAGAGCGTAACACCAATCAAAAGCTTTAAATTGCATTTATCCTACTTATATTACTGTAATATTTACATGAAAAGATGATTATAGAAATGATTAATAGAATATTCTTATATTAGGTTCTCAAGCTTGCCACTACTGTATATCGGGAGATATTTATTATAAAAAGTATCTATTATGTTATAGTTAGTAAGCAACTGATGCATTTTCAATTGTTTACTTGAAATAAAACCCTAATAATGTTTTACATCGAATGTTTCAATTAAAAATTGTAGGGTAATGGTCTTTTCGACTGAAAATAAAAAAACCTATTTTCACTTTCCCAACAATCAAAGATTGCCTTCACGGTTAATTTGTATGATACACACAAATTATGGGAAAAACGCAGTAAAGAGGTACATTATTACTTTTCCGCTATAATTTGACCTTTATGGGGTAATTATTTGTATGCACTCTCGTATTCATCTAGATTATAAAACAATAATAATGCCGTGTTATTGATTATAAATGGCGTTTATAATGAGAAGGTCAACGACATAATGTGGCCTTAGGACCGAACACATTTACCACATTTTCCGTTTTTTTTTTGTTATTTGGTTTTTTGTTTTGTGACCTTTGGAATGTCCAAAAAAACAGATTTGGGTACACTGTACAATTTATAATTATTTTGGAATTCCAAAAGGCTGTTAATGTCTAATCCACTATTATTTGTATGTACTAGTAATAAATTGTTAATTGTTTTTTGTAATTGGAAAATGAAAATTAAACGAATTATAAATNTCCAAAAAAACAGATTTGGGTACACTGTACAATTTATAATTATTTTGGAATTCCAAAAGGCTGTTAATGTCTAATCCACTATTATTTGTATGTACTAGTAATAAATTGTTAATTGTTTTTTGTAATTGGAAAATGAAAATTAAACGAATTATAAATAATCAAAATTCACACTTATTGTTAATATGAAATATAATTTTAAGTACTCACTCTAAATTTTAACACACTAGATAAAAGTAGATACCTACATTGTACGTTAATTAAAAATAGGCAATTTATGTTAATCATGTTCGTACTTTGTATGTAAATGACCTATTTGTGCATTGTGTTTTGCGCTGGTCGTGAATACGTAAATATACTTAATCTTTGCACCGAAGAAATTATTTTTAAAAAGTTTGCTTCCAAAAATAAATATATATTTTCAAAATAATATGTAACTTGGCATAATTAATTACTAAATATGTAAATTTGGTACGTTTTTAAAGATCGAACTAAAAAAGAAAAGTTAGTGTTCATATAGATGCAAAACAATGCGAAAATGAATTGGAAGAAGTCATAGAAGCTTACAATAAATACAAATACTGTTTAAATACATATATGGATACGTAAAAGTTTAATGAATTCGATTCTCTCAAGGACTAACTTAAGAGTTTTAATTAATGGCAATAATAAGCACCCGGCTTCATATTACGATCTTGTAAATTATTTTGCTAGAATCACATTATGTATTTAAGTTGGAACTAATGTTCCGTTTCTATAAATTATCACTAAATTCGTCAAAAATTCTAGAAACTGCATTTAATTTGTTGTTATTATTGCACAGATTAATTTATCATTCAAATCCTGAACACTCGGTATAGCGTTACTAAAAAATGTTTTTAACTTTTGCACATGTTTGCTTTAACGTAAAATGTTTACGATTAGATCAAAGTTCGCTTTGGATGTTAATTGGAAGCTAAACTATTTTTAAAAATGCGCGTACGTAACCAGAATTGTGTACTCTAGTCATTACTATTGTTAGTTTCCCAATGATTTAGTCAATGAATTTAAGATTAAGAAAGAAATATTTCTAGTAAAAATGAACTAATTAACAATTAAAACAATTAACGAATTGGAACACCTTTAAACAAGGCGCGAGTTTTGTTTCTCTTGTTAGTAACTATCCTATTGTTGGCTGTTTGTAATTAAATGATCACATTTGATTTGTTAATAATTTAATTTTTTGTTTCACATGAAATATTATTCTGAAAATTCATATACCCACTACACGCTATCTCAAATCAATGAGGGAAAATTTGTTGCTGTTGTCAAACCCCCGCCGGGAATCGAACCCGGGATCTTTGGCTTTACGCACCAATGTTCTGACCATTAGTGGTATAGCCAAAGATCTCGGGTTCGATTCCCGGCGGGGGTTTGACAACAGCAACAATTTTTCCCTCAGTAATTTGAGGTAGCGTGTAGTGGGTAAAAATTCAAAAATGAATTTTCAGAATAATATTTCATATTAAACTAACTCACTTCGAAAAAGATGTCTAAAATTGTATGTATTTTTGTTTCACGATTTCTAAATAATTATAATCAAAAAGTATACGCCTTGATACTGCACAGTATCAATACTCATTACATAATACTTATGCAATTCTAAAGGATTTACATATCATTCATTATTTGTTAAAAAAAATTATTATTAGGCCAGACAATTTGTATTAGGTTGATAACCCTTGATGGGCGACTGCAATTGATTAAACTAAATATTTACTTAATGTAATCTTCTTATCACGCGAAATTTTTTTCAATGTATATCACGCCGCTTACACGTTTCTGATAACTTTTTTATTGTAATATTCAACTTAATTGTCCTACTGTAAATGCACTACCAGAATATTATATATTATTATGTTAAAAAAAAGCGTGCTTGCTCGTGGCGCGAAATAGAACTTATTTGTTTAAATAATTACCACTCGATTCTCACATGGTCGTAAAAATTAATGTAAACATACTAATAATTTCCAAAGGAAATAAAGTATGCACCCGGAATACCCAAATGGTCGTTGGAAAAATAGCGCATTCAATTCTTTGAAAATTTCTACGCCATATATTTCTTTACAGTTTTTCAATCCGACGTGTAATNTCTTTTTATTTGCTCCTATATAAATATGTATCTTGATATTTCGAAATCACATTATGCATTTATATTTAAAAATTATTTTATTTTATGCATTTACGTAATCTGTGACGCACATAAACTAGATGTACGTATATACAGGGTGAAACGACATTTTACTTTTGTTTTAGGTAAAAGATGCAACAGCCGCCTTGATCGTGGTAATGTTTTTGTTCATTCTTCCTGCCAAACCGGATTTCATCTACATATTTAGTAAACATGAATCGAAAAGGCCAAAAGCTCCCTCTCCTCCCCTGATAACGTGGAAAGTAGTGCAACAGAAATTACCGTGGGGTCTGATTTTCCTTCTTGGAGGTGGTTTTGCCCTCGCTGAGGGTTCCAAAGCAAGTCACATGAGCGAATTAATCGCGCTAAAGCTTGGAGGTCTCGCTCAACTACCACCGTTCGCGGTTTTAGCCATTTCTTGTTTATTTGCCTCATTTTTAACAGAATTCTCTAGTAATGTGGCTGTGGCCAACGTTATTTTACCCGTTTTGGCCGAAATGTCGAAGAATGCCAAGTGGCATCCGCTTTATTTAATGATGCCGGCAGCTCTAAGTTGTAGTCATGCCTTCTGTTTACCTGTGGGCACTCCCCCAAATGCAATCGCTGCTGCTCCTTGTAATATGCCCACTAAAGAAATGGTTAAAGCTGGTATTGGGGTGTCTATTATTGCACTTGTTGTACTTTTTATTATGTTCCCCACCCTGGGAGCTGTTATTTATTCTCTTAACGAATTCCCCGAATGGGCAATGAATTAATAATCAGGTTCTTGTACCTGGCAAAGTAAATTTGGTGCTCAAAAGAATGAACCGACGAAGAATTAATAGTATTAGATTTAATCGATGGTTGAATAGTTTTGTTAACAATTTATTTTTGGATACATAACATGTAATAACGTTGGCACTCAATACTTGTTCATTTTTTAAATTGTTAGAAGAAGCCTTAGTTTAATTGTACCCTAATGGAATTTTAGTCAACGGACAAAGTATCGCCAAGACAATACTGCATGTCAAACACTGCTATAATAGTACAGGATATTGCTTTTACTACTTCAGGAACTCAATTTGTAAATATTTATTTTTTTAATGGGATATTTCTAATCTGACTATGGAAGACTGAATAAAATAATTTTAATAACACTCGATATTTTCCTATTAAACGTTCTTGCTTTTAATTGTAATGTGAACATCCTCGTTTCGTTAAATGCAACAATTTCATTGTATTTCACAAAGTTATTTTTATACCTTTATTAATGGTGTTAATAAACTTACTACAAAGAATCATTACGTACAATTTTTAATTTATTACAATAAAGCATTGCTATAATAATTATATCTTCTATCTAATCTTCTCTAGCAATTCTAATTCGGTTTAAATAAAATGTATTGATTGCGAATCGTATTTGTTTGCTTTGTTTCATTAGATCAGGTTTCTTTAACGATTATCGAATGCGACAACAGTGTCCACGTAATTATTTATGCATTTATTGATTCAGTTATTAGAGAGGTATCTATATAATTATTTTTTTACGTAATGTCCAATGTTTGTTCTATTATTTTTGGAAGACAAATAGGAAGTCGGCCTATAAATAAAGTACTTCACATTTTCATTACGCGTAATTGCACTTGCACTTCTAAGAAGCGGTCATCAGTGACGTCCGCTGGAATTTTACGTAAAATCAGGCGATTCAGACAGAATTTGATATTTTTCTTGTTATCGTGATTCAAATTGTTCATGCCCTTGGATACTGATTCTTTTTTGGGTTATCAAGAAAATCAAAGATCAGGCGTTTTCGAACACGTGAACGCACGATGCAATTAAGTGATAACTGTTGCTTTTTTTGCGCTTTCGTTATCTACTTTTCGAAAAACACTTCGATAATAATTTTTGTTTTCCCGGAGCATTCACCATAATTTCTAAAAGCGAAGTAGAAATTATAAAATTTCATTATTAGAATAATTAAATCGTGGGTGATGCACTTTTAAAATTCTATACAAGGCTATAAGCAATTGTTATTTTAATCTTTGATTAGTGCCGGATGTGACATTGCAATGATACCTGTTGACGCTTCTCTATTTAGAAAAATTAATTGATTCAGACACCATATTAATGACACGATGTGCTGACCATTTTAATTACTTTTTTAATTAATCACTGTTTACTTGTTGAATAAAATTTAAGTAATGCATACGTTAAAAGTACAGTAGGTACTAAAAAAAACTACATTTATTATATTATTGATGAGTAAAACTTTTCGTTATAAGTTGTTATTATTATTTATGTTATTATCCTTGCTATTTATAGGATATCCTTATGGAAAGACTAAAGGTAACGTTCAATTTTCTTATGGAAACGGTTTGGTTTCTGTAGTAACAAAAAAAAAAAGTTTGAGGTTAAACAAAATATGTTACAATGACTTTTTAATACTCTATTGCTTTAATCTAGGCAACTAGATCTTGTTATTTAAGAGAATAATAAGAAGTGACACAGTCTAGCTAGTTTTGAAATAGTAAACGAAACATTAAGTTCTTTTTAATATTCATATACTACTGGGGTTCTTAAATTCTATCGCTTATGAAGTCACTTGTTTGTCCCGCGTATATCCTCAAAACTTCATTCTTCCAACGCTAAATTTGTAAAAAAAGTCACGCATTTCATATCGTCCTTTCCGTAATGTATATACATTACAATAATTGTATTAGCGGTCACTGTTTGACCTCCGACTTGACCTTTGGCGTGACCACTTTGGCCTCTTCATCGTGCCAGAGGGGCTGGGTACAAAAATGGCACAACATATTACATTATTATCATTTACTCATTTGTTATTTATCAGCTAACCGTGATTTAAACTGTACATCGGACAGGCTTTGGCTGCTACTACATAATATACACGTTAGTTATTAAGTTTGTGTTCGATCGCGTTACAAAACTTTATGGTGCGATATGTGTATATAAAATAAATGAAAGAAGTTGCGAACGCCAATTTGTGCATTTTACGTCGGACATTAGAACCTGACGGTTCCCGGAAAAAAAACTTTATTTCATTTATTTTAATAACAGTATTTCACGTGAAGGGTCTTGGTACCTACTTGATATTTCATTAATTCGTCAGTGCGTTGTAGTGTGGGGCTAAACGAAACCAATTCGGGCAGTATTTTTTTTTGTGTGGATGCTGCATTTTAATTGCCAGGATGACCATTGAAAAAAGTACGTTTTTTTTTTTTGTTATACTTAAGTTTAAGGATGCTGGAGAGCCACACTCATTGAAGAAGTTACTGTTGCACAAAAAAATAGTAAATAACCAATTGTAGGTACGAGATATTTCTGAAAATTTTGATTTGGTGAATTTGAAATCGAAAAGTTTCGTTATTTTAATAGTGCAGTTTCTAGACGATTTTTAACGATTGTTAAACTTTTTTTCATCTAATTTTCAATAATTAGCATCTATTTTGTTTCATAGTCAATATAGTACAATTAGTTACTAACTTTTTTTGCACAACAGCAATTTTTTTTACTGTAGTCGATTAATATGGGACACAATTATCAGATTATATATTTTGAAACTTTTTAATTGGCTGGACCACTAACTAATTAATTATAAGAACTAATTTAATAATCTTGAAAATTGTATCAATTTACGCGTTTTACATTAGTAAAAGAAGAGGTTCCCACGAAACTCTACTAAAATGATTAAATTTGGATATCTATTATTGCTGCACTTGGTCAAAGCCTCAATAAATTCAAAGCAGAAGCTAATACCCTATTCCATTTACTATTCTTAGACTTTCGGTTAGCCAAAATAATCTAACTATAGCAAGTACGTACTCGTAATAAAAATGAAGAAAGTTTGTGAATATCTGTATTTCCTATTGTTAAATAAAAAATCTGGGAGACTTATCCAATCTTATATTTCTAGACTATTACGTTATTTAACAAGAACAAATTGTTTATTCTGATAAACTGTATTAATTCTTTAATTTGAATAACATAATGTGATAACTATTTCACATATATGTAGATTATTGAAAAGAAACAATAGATGCCCAACTGTATGCAGATAAATACAACACCATTGTTTATCGTTATTTACACAATAACTTCCGTTTTGTTATCATAGAACTGATTAAAAGTGTTAAGGGAAAAACACGGGTGACAACAGATCGTTGTTCTGTGTTCAACAAGCTTTCTAATTTTCTTTAACCCTTTTTTTCTATGTACCTACTCCCTACTACGAATATAAAATTCAATTATGAGCAACACCTTATGAGTTTTACTTCCTCATATTTGTATAATAAAATAAAGTATGTTTTTGTGGTCTTTACGATAGGATAAAAAGCGCTCAAAATATCTCACGCAATTTGAGATCGATTACAGTTTGCTATGTGATGAAATTTGAGAGTTAAAAGTGGACCATGATCACCTTTTTATTTTAAAAATGATTTTCTAGGCTTTTAGATCGAGGTCGATTATTGTTTCATAGGATCAATGTTATTTAAAAATAGAAATCAAATATTTTGGTTTTCCCCCCAGAAAAGTTACATTTGTTTATCTATGTGTAGCGAATTACATATTGGTTCGTATTTCGTTTTTCTTTTTGTTTTATCATTTTTACGTGTCGTTTTCTTTGAATGAGAATTATAGATAAAAATAAATGATCATTTTATGCCAAAAAAATCAGTCAAAACATAAAGCGAAAGTCAATGTTAGAAATGCATAATACGTAATCATCGATGTTTTTAAAATAACTTGTTTTCACACAAAAGTCTATTGTTTACTTAGATTTATACCAGCGTGTAATTGTAATTTCATTGTTTTCAAAAAAAAAAAAAAAAAACAAAACACTAACCACTAAAGGTAACGTTCA